CTATTCCTGTTAGTACCTGACTCTGTGAGTTTGTACTCAAGTCAGCCCTGAACAAAGCAAAAGCCCAACCTTTTATACCGAATTAGTTCTCCTTTACAATTCAGTTTGTCTTTCATCTATGGCAACACATAGTCTGATTGGGTGTTCTATGCTACTGGGTCATGATGGGCAAATCTGTGTACATGCACTCAGGCACAGGCCATGCTGCATTGCCTTCCCTTTGTTCTGTGGGGTCTCTGCCACAGACAGAGTTACAGGTGGTTGTGAGTCACCTGTCATGGGTGTTGAGAACTGAACTCAGGTCCTCTGCAGAACAAGAGCAGTACTTGTTCCTAACAACTAAGCATTCTCTCCAACCCTTTAACTCATACCCATGTCAGCTCAAACACAAGTTCCTGTAGGTGGTTTGTTTCTCCTCCAGAGGTTCCTATTTCAGTCGTTCACCTGAGGCCATGTCTGCCCCTTGTAAACTCTAATACTATCCTGGACTTCCTCATCTAAGCATTTATTACAGTGGCAATTACAAGAGTAATTGGCCAATTAGTTGCTTAATGTTTTGCTACCCATCAAACTAATCTTCACCACAAAGAGACTGTCTATGTTTTTATTTACTAATGCCTCCCTCATATCAGTAGTGCCTTTCTCAACAAATGACTTGTTCAGTGATTAAGTGTAGAAATGATCTGGCAAAATAAATGCTTTGAATTTTGGAACGCACATGTATAGTTGTCTTAAGCATGATTTGGGCAGACATTCAGAAATAATAGCTAACATCTGTAAAGCACTTAATTATCAAGTACTTGCTAAGTATTTAACAAGGGTCTCACTGTGATCACTTAGCCTAAAAGGCTGGTTCTGTCATGACACCAATTGGCTAGTAAGCAAAAGAACTGTCAGAGAGGTGAAGAAACTTGTCCAAGATTACTCAACTCATACGTGGTGGTATTCATTAACTGGGCTGGCTGTGTTCAGACTTTGTGAGTCTACTTGTTATTGCCTCATCTTGCTAATGTATTGATTGCCACTTTTTATTTATCTTATTCACCTGGATTTGTCTGAATCCAGCCTAGTTCACAAAAGAAAAAAATTTTGATTCTTAAGTGAAGCCAGGAACATGGTAAAATGTTCTTTCTTCCATTTTTGCTTCATATTTACTACAAACCTTATATAGTAAGCAAATTATTTTCTAATTGGCCTATAGACAAGTTGATTTTATTCTGTATAGACAACTTTCCTTATACCTCTGTGTCATTCAAGAAAAAAGAACAGAAAATATTTTTCTTTACATGATTTTTATACAAAGATAAACATGCATACTTACAAGACCCCTCTCAAATTTTTTTTAGGGGGGGGTTCTTTTTGAGACAGGGTCTCCCTGTAGCCTCAGCTGACCTGGAACTATGTAGACCAGGCTGGCCTTGAACTCACAGCGATCCGCCTGCCTCTGCCTCCCAAGTGCTGGGATTAAAGGCGTGCACCACCACGCCTGGCCCAATTTATTATTTTGAGACAGGGTCTCTTTCATGTATGCCACACTGCTCTTGAACTCACTATGTAGCAAATTTTCTAATCTTCCTGCCTCTACCTCCCAAGTGCTAGCATTGCAGGTATGTGCCACTCCACACACCCTGGTCTATGAAGTAACCCAGAACTCAAGCATGCTTAGGCAAGTAATCTACTACGGAGTTAGAACCTCTGCACCTTAAATTTGATTTCATTGATACATAAAAGCATAAAAATTATATGTGTGTATATATATGTGTTGCTTCAATACATGTACACATTGTAGAATGTTTAAAGCTGTCAAAACATATCTATCTCATACCATTTCTTTATTTTCTGGTGGGAGGGGGAAGCAGTCTTTTTGAGACAGGTCTCCCTGTAGCCCAGCTGGCCTGGAAGTCAGTCACCATACAGACCAGGCTGGCCTGGATCTCATAGAGATCCGCCTGCCACCACCTCCCAAGTGCTGGGATTAAAGGTGTGCACCTCCATGCCAAACTCTCATTTACCATTTCTTTATTGTAAAAACATTCAAAATCCTATCTTACAGCAGGTTGGTTGAATTTTTTTTTTTTTTTTATTGTTGAGAAAGGGTCTCCCTGTAGCCATAGCTGACCAGAACTCGCTATGTAGAGCAGGCGGGACTCCATCTCACAGAGATCTGCCTGCCACTGCCTCCCCAGTGCTGGGATTAAAGGCATGAGCCATCACTCCCAGCAATTAGATTTTTGATTACTTATATGTTTATTTTAATTCTATGTGTATGAGTGATATGCCTGCATGTATGTAAGTGCACCCATGTGGTGTAATGCCCGGGGGAATCAGAAGAGAACATCAGATCCCTGTAACTGGAGTTACAAACTGTTGTTAGCTGCCATATGGGTGCTGGAATTTGAATTTGGGTCTTCAAGAGCAGCCCGTGCTCTTAACTGCTGAGCCATCTCTCTAGCCCCTTGATTTAATTTTTAATAAGTCCACATGGCTGGGGTTTACAATTCAGTAGCACAGTGCTTTCTAGTACACATAAAAGCCTGGATATGACGGGGGCAGGGGGGAGAGATAGACAAAGTCCACTTAAAATTATAATGAAAGATGAACTCTAATTCTGAGGAATGGTGTCCTATAATAAATCACTAGAAAAAAATACAAAAACTACATTGTAACCTGCTAGCTATTTTTAGGTAAAATATTGTAGAAAAGGAGTATGTTTTGGGGTGGTTTGTTTTTTTTTTTTTTTTTTTTTTTTTTTTTTTTTTTTTTTTTGGTCTTTTTGAGATAGGGTCTCCCTGTAACTCCAGCAGGCCTGGAACTATGTAGACCAGGCTTGCCTTGAACTCACAGAGATCTGCCTGCCTCTGCCTCCCGAGTGCTGGAATTAAAGGTGTGCACCCACCACGCCTGGCAGAAAAGGAGTATTTTTGTATCACCTCTTTAATCCCTCAAAGATGGTCAGATGCACAAAGAAATTTGATGTAGAACATGTAATATAATTTCATGTGTCTTAGATTACCTTCAATTGCTATGACAAAACATTCTAACCAATAGCAACTTAGGGAGGAAAGATTTTTTATTTGGCTCACATCTCCTGGGTCACAGTTAAACGGAGGGAGCCCAAGGTAGGAACTCAGGCCAGGAACCTGTAGGCAGGAGCTGAAGCACAGACCTTGAAGGACTGCTACTTACTGACTTGCTCTCCTGGCCCATGCTCAGCCTGTTTTCTTTTTTTAATATTTTATTTATTTTACGTGTATCCATGTATTGCTTGCATGTAGGTAAGTGCACCCGTGTTGTGCAATGCCCGCGGAGTACAGAAGAGGCTGTCGGATCCCCTGGAACTGGAGTTACCGACTGTTGTTCGCTGCCATGTGGGTGCTGGGATTCAAACCCCAGTCTTCTACAAGAACAGTCAGTGTTCTTAACCGCTGAGCCATCTCTCTAGACCCTCAGCCTGTTTTCTTATACAATACAAAACAACCTGCCCAGGGGTGGCACCGCCCACAGTGGATTGGGTCCTCCCACATCTCTCAAAAATTAAGGAAATAACTCATAGACATGGCCACAGGCCAATTTAATGGAGGAAATTACCCAGTTAAGGTTCCCTCAACCCAGGTGTGTCAAGTTGACAACTAAAGCTATCCAGCACAATATGTAACTTTAAATGATCCACATAAATCTTCAGATCATAAATAGTTAAAAACCACATGATTTCATGAAAGTATTAAATATGGATCAATTTTCATTTCAATGCCCACCAAACACAAACTGCCAGATCTTGATTATAGGATAGTCTCTGATCACAGTGGGAAGGAAATCATTGTTTTCATCTTTGGTATTACCATGGAGACAGTAGTTGGAAAATAACTGTTGTTTAGAAAGTGGCCATAGACTTGGGACAATAATAGCAAAGGCCTGTAACCTCAGCAGTAGTAATAATGATGCATTACTTTTCTTCTTGCTGTAACGTGAATGAAAGCAATTTAAGCAAGACTTCTTTTGGCTTACAGTTTAAGAGGATACAGTTCAGAATGGTAGGGAAGACATGATAAGAGTTCATGGTGGCAGGACCTTGAAGCCAAGACTTCTTACCTCTGGGCAGACCAGGAAGCAGAGAGTAGGGTACACTGACACTCTTTTTTCCCCTTTTCAACCTGGATTCCTAGCTTGTAGGGATGGTGTCACATTCAAGGAGGCTTTTCCCTCCTCTGTTAAACTTTTCTGGAAATTACCTCAAAGCTAGGTCCAAGGGTTTATTTCCTAGGTGAACCCAAATCAAGGCAGATTGATAATGAAGATTATCACGGATGGTCAGTTGAAGACCAGCTTGGTCTAAAGAGTGAGTTCCAGGCCACCCACGGATACATAGTTGAGACCCTGTCTCATAAAAACCAAAATCAAAAAACCAAAACACACACTGACACAAACAAGAAGTAATTGTTGCAATAGCACAATGTTTGGGGGTTTTAAAACAAGGTCTAGTCAATTCCCTGGATATCCCTGAAGGCCAGCATTCTACCAATACTTCCCCCTCGGGCAAGGAAGCTTATGTAGTACTTCAGAAAATGGCTGTTGTGACTCTATACTATCTTTCTCACAAGGTCATCCTAAATTCCATGGAAACCAAAGGCTTGGAACAAACTCCCTTATAAAACTCACTTTAAATAAATTGCTTCCACAAGTCAGAAAGCGAAAGAATTTTTCTAGCGTTTATATTTATGGATTGTGTTATGGTGTTCATGACTACCCCGTTTCATTGTGCCTCAGAAACCAAGTTAACATTTCCACAACTTGGAAACAAACAAACCTCGGATGACTACACTTCCCATGAAACCTCTGTGGGCGACGCCGACGTGCACTAGAAGTTAGTCATACCCGGTGCTTCCACTTCCTGGACTCTGGCGGCTTCGCGGGAGCACGCACGCACCGACTTGCTTCGGGGACCAGGCGCCGGCGCGCGCGCAGCCGCCGCCGGCGTGAGATGTCACGTGACAAGGGGGCGTGCTTTTCTGCCTGCGCGGGTAGCGCGGGGGTTGCTGTTGGGCGTACGGCGCCTGCGTGGAGCTGGAGCCTGAGGCGAGGGGCCGGACCAGGCGAGGGTTGTAGGGGCCGTGCGCCCAGAGGACAGGGGAGGGCCGGGCTGGCTCCGGGACACCGGCAACGACGACTCACCGAGCGAGCGCCTGGGCCTGAGGGGAACGATGCTGTGGTTCCAGGGCGCCATTCCGGCCGCCATCGCGTCGGCTAAGAGGAGCGGCGCGGTCTTCGTAGTGTTTGTGGCAGGTGAAAGGGGCGAGGGCCTGAGGAGTGGCGGGGATAGTGCTTTTGGCCTTGTCTTTCTCGGATCCGTCGTTAGCGTCGAATGGGCCTGGCTGGAGGAGCCGTGGGTGTCTCTCAACTGACAACCTGAGACCCTGTCGCCGAGTCTGCCCCACCCCCAGCTCCGCACAGGGCCTACTGGGCTCGGTCGGCCCGCTCTGCCCGTGTGCAGACCCGGGGTGCCCAGCTTCTTCAGGGACAAACAGACGGGTGGGGTGGGCCTGACCCCTCCGTATCCGTGAGGGAAGCGCCGTCCAGGCCCTGTCCCCAAGCGCTGAATCCCGCGAGGGGACGCGCCCTGCAGGCCCTGGCTCTGCCAGACCCCAAGACACTCAGGCTGAAACCCCTCTTGGTTCCCCTGAGGCCCCTTCGGGGTGCCTGGACACCTTTGAAATTCCTCATATGCAGGGAAGGAAGGGACGGGCCACTAGGCCGACAGTTGTGTTCCTAATTAGTTGTGAGCTGTCAAGAAAGCTGTGTCATCGGTAAGCCACAAAGAAACCACCTGATGTCCATGGTGGCTAGTGTTAGAATGTTCCTGAAACATAAACACTCCAGCTTTACGGAAATTGTTTATGATAGTATTAGGAGGGGATCTCAGGTGCAATTAACTTCTTTATTATAAATTGGTTTTTAAAGTTATTTACTTTTGGCAGTTTAGAAAGTGGTTCTTCCCTACTCCTAGTCTAAAATGAACAGTTTTCCAAAACGTGTACAAATTTTTATTGCTGAAGTCTTGTAGATTTGCAGTAAACCATCTGCTTCTTTGGTTTTGTACATTGTCATTACGTGGACCAGTGTGTGACAGCTATTAAAGTGTTCTTCAAACTACTTGTGTTTACTAACATTTTACCCAGATATTTATTTATTTATTTATTTAGGTCTTTTTGAGACAGGGTCTCCCTGTTGCCCCATCTGGTGTGGAACTCACTATGTAGACCAGGCTGGCCTCAAATTCACAGAGATCCGATTTCTCCTGCCTCACAAGTGCTAGGATTAAAGACATGCACCACCAAGCCGGCCTTTATTCAGAATTTTTTAAGATTTATTTTTATGTTATGTGGATGAGTGTTTTGCCTGAATCTATGTATGTGCACTACGTGTGTGCCTGGTGCCTTCAGAGTCCAGAAGTGGGCATTGGATGCCCAGGAACTGGAGTTTTGGATGATTGTGATCCGATACGTAGGTGCTGGGAACAGAATATGGGTCTTCTAGAAGAGCAGCACGTGCTCTTAATCTCTGAGCCATCTCTCCAGCCCCTTACTCATCATAATTGATCCACAACTGAAAAGAAAAATTGGAGATATATGAATTAAATTAGAAATAATTTGTTATGCTAATTTTTTATTTTTTTATTTTTTTGTCTTTTTGAGACAGGGTCTCCCTGTAGCCCCAGCTGTCCTGGAACTCACTATGTAGTTCAGGCTGGCCTTGAACTCACAGAGATCCGCCTGTGTCTGCCTCCCGAGTGCTGGAACTACAGGGGTGTACCACCACACCCGGCATGTTATGCTAAATTTTTAGCTTGGTGATTGCTGTTAATTAGAAGAGCTTATGTTTTTAGATTTTATTATGCTCTGTTCTGGGGTTATATACTTTTGGGGGGGGTCTTTTTGAGTCAGGGTCTCCCTATAGCCCCAGCTGGCCTGGAACTCACTATGCCTCACTATGTAGACCAGGCTGGCCTTGAACTCACACATCCGTCTGCCTCTGCCTCCTGAGTGCTAGGACTAAAGGCATGCGCCACCACGCCTGGCTTTTTGAGACAGGGTCTCCCTGTAGTCACGACTGGCCTGGATTTGCTATGGTTGGGAAATGAAAAGGATATCTTTCTAGCTAGAGGGGTGGCCTCAAGGGTATACTTACAGAATTCAGGGAAAGTATTTCAGGTGAATGTTTATTTCATGACATTTTCTTTGCTTTTGTAGAGTCTGGGTCTTGCTGTTGCCCAGGCTGGCCTCAGACTCCTGAGCTCAGTAATCCTCCTGCCTCAGCCTCCCAAGTGTCTGAGACTTCAGACACAGGTAGGAGCAGTACAATCTGGCTTCCCGGCTTTGTTAATAAAAGTTTTCTTTTCTTTTATTTTCTTTTTGTTGTTGTTGTTGTGTAGCCCCAGATGGTCTAGAACTTGCTATATACAGACCAGGCTGGCCTCCTGAGTGCTAGAATTTAAAGGTGGGCACCACTGTGCCCAGCTAAACTTTTTTTTTTTTTTTTTTTTTTTTTTAAACAGGGTCTCCCTGTAGCTCCAGCTGGCCTGGAACTCACAGACTAGACTGGCCTCCTGAGCACTGGGATTAAATTTTTTTTTTTTTTTTTTATTTCTTTTTTGGTTTATTTATTTTCATTTTATGTGTATTGAGTATTTTGCTTGCAGGTATGTGTGTCCAGAAGCCAGAAAAGGGTGTAGAATCCCCTGGAACTGGAGTTAATGAGATTTTTATGAATGAATTAAGGAATACTGTAGAGCAAGCCGGGCGTGGTGGTGCATGCCTTTAGTCCCAGGACTTGGGAGGCATATGCAGAGGCAGACTGCTCTATACATGGTCTACATAGTGAGTTCCAGGACAGCTGGGGCTATAGGGAGACCCTGTCTCAAAAAGACCAAAACAAAATTATATGTATATATATGTATA